TCTTGAAAGGTATGAAGAACAATGAGCTCATCTTGATAAGCTGAGGGAAGCTGAAAAAAAAAACCATCGGTTGTGGCTTCTTCTCCCTTCCGTAAAAACTCCTCTTTAGAGTCGCACATCTTCGGAGACGCCCAAACGAAAACCTCTGCAAGTGTCTTGATGTCGAACCTGCCCTTGTCTTTTAGCACAGAGCTACGGTTTCGAAGCTGTTCTGCTTCAGGAAGCAACTTTTTAAGATCGGGTTGATTGACATAGCGTTCTCTGAGCAGTACTAGGCATCTTGCGGGTGTAGCTCCACCTAACAATAAATTGTCGCACTCCACTTTAAATATTTTGTCAATGCCGGTGCGTGGTTGATCTGCCACAGCAATTGTGTGTTCCCCAGCCACTTTAAGTGTAAATTCTCCAGGGTTTATCTTCGAAACGAGGATACGCGCCTTCCGTCCGCAGTCTTCGTGTGAGCTACAGTCGTATTGGGTAATTGTGCGATCCCTCGTTTTGTAATTGTGTTTGTGCTTAAATCGGGAGCTCTCTGATGTATCCAAATGAGTTCTAGCTTCTTGTCGAGATGTGAAGGTTCTTAAAACCGACGCTTCATTCCAGTCAATTAGTTTAGAAAGAACTGTTGGAGGGGGCGACGCAGGTGGTACTAATGGGCTGGTATCGTCATCTTCATCTTTATCACTCTGTCGTAAAGGGGAGGATGCGATGTCAAACTCATAGGATGAATCACTTTCGCCAGCAACCTCGTCAGAGTCGTCCGAGGATTGCATCTCGCTTGAGGTTTAGCAGAGGAGGCGAACTATCAGTAAGATCGTAGCCGAGGTCGCTAGAAGTGAAACTAACAGCGACGTTTTTAAAATAGAAGCAAAGAAATAATAGATTATACAAAATAATACGCAATATTGACAGTATAATAATTTAATCAAGATAACTTCAACACGTTGCACCAGTTAAAGTTAAGGACGGGCCACCAGAATCAACACATCACTGAAATGATTGTGCAAAACCGTGCTCTTGATTGGACGCGCATATTACGTAACAATGACTGAACGATACGTCACTATTAAACACATGTCAATACGTTTTGTCATGATAACGTGCCATTGCGCACATAATAATATATTATAAACACTGATTGTATCACACGCGGAAAATCAATGCATCACGCTAAAAACCACACGTGGAAACCCACACGCGGAAATCCACATAAACGACACGCGGATAACCACACCACACGCGCAAAACCAAGGTCGACTTGAACTCACGCGGAAAACCGCGAAAACGCACGCGGAAAAAAGTCCCGGCCATTGTAAAACCCATGTAATCTATAAAAAAAAAGGGGGGGGGGCACGAGGCTCGGTTCTCGGTGGCGTTGACACAGTACGTCGAATTTGAAAATTGTTTTGTTTTGTTTTGTTTTTCTTACTAAAGTCTATCCCGGAGCTGCTCCAGAACGCATGGCTTGGATTCGACGAATAAGCTTGTCGTATATGTGGTTAGTGTCTTTATCTAGATTCAAAAGGAACACATGAATTGCTCGGATTTCTGCGTCCATTTACGAACAACACCGACTTCACTACTGTCAGCTCTGATTGGGCTACCACAGCATCAACACTAAGGCGATTGTAATAATAGTAACATACTCGGGTAGCTGCGGTTCGAGCACGAGGCGCGCGGTAGTATATTCAATACTGACCTGGGCTCTTACTCTGTGTTACTTGCCTTTGCTCTTGATGATTGCCTTGGCCTCTTGATACTTCTCTTTCGCCTTGCCGAAAACGGGCTGATTCGCGATATACTTCTTGACGATATGGACGGTTCTCAGCAGCTCACGGAACGATGGCACACCGCTCAGTAGCTCACGCGAGTGGAAGGGCATGTCAATACCCGGTAGAGGGATAGTGGCCAGGCCTCTAGTCAGCATGAACGGACGACCACGTTGCTCGCATTCCTCCTTACGAGCTCGAGCTTGTTCCAGCGAGTACATGATGATCTTGTCCACATCTTCAGACTCTGTCGACTTCAGAGTCTTAAACGCAGCGAGACCGAGTGACAACGTCTCCAGATTCACACTATCACCGGCGACGACGTACTGGTATTGCTGGACGTTAAAGTTCACGACCTGTAAGAGTTTACCGGATGCTGCTTCAATGCCCTGTACGATCGTGTACAGCAGCTCTTCTGTCATATGAGACCCAACACGCATGGGGTTCGCAGCTACCATGCCATAGTCCGAGCGTCCTTCAGCATCACGTTTCACTGCCCTCTGCATGATCAAGCCACGTAAGAACACCACTTCCACCACGTCTTCTAAAGCTAAAACACCCGCAAACGAACTGAGACCGGCGTACTCGCCAAGTGAGTGGCCAGCGAAGAACGCGTCGCTCGGGATCAGTTGCGCATCCTCAATCTCCGAGAACATGGCCTTCTCCAATAGAACAATCGCAGGCTGGTTGAACTGAGTCGCAAAGAGTAAACCTTCCGGCAAGGAGAACGTGAAGCTCTGCGTGCGTGTGTTGATCTCGGGTAGCAACGGCACCGTCTCGCCAGTCGTCGGGTCTTCACACGTCAAGCTCATGTACTTCTCACGAATCCTACGGCCTTTCTTACCGCCAAAGTATACAGTGATCGACTTGGGATTGTTGTGTACAATGTCGAGGATCGAGAAGCCGAACATGTTGAGTAAGTGACGATCGCCACGGTCCCAGATCTCCCGAGCAATTGGGGATTCCTGGTATCGATTCATACCCATCCCTACCTCAGCCGAGCCTTGGCCGGTGAATACAAAGGCTGTCGGTCGTTGTTTCACGACGGCACGTGCAGTGATCACACGCTCACTTGATGAGTTGACGACCTCAATGGACAAGATCTTGTTCCCATTCTTCTGTCCAACGTGACGCGCTTGCATGAACAACTTGTCGCCCGGGTAAACCATGCCGTCGAAGCTCACTTCGTACTCGACGACGTTGCTGTCCAAGCCCTGACTGAAGCTCTGGGTCACCAGATCACGCACTTTAGTTGCTGTCCACATGCCGTGCATGATCGGTTTACCCTTCAATCCAGCCAGAATAGCAGCGTAGTTGGACCGGTGGATCGGATTCAGGTCTCGAGATGCTACGGCGTACGCCAGCGCGTTCGTCGGGACGTTGATCTCCAGCGGCGTCTCCAGCATGTAAGAACCATTGTTCACAAACATCCCGCTAGTCTCAAGCTGTACCTGCCGTAAGAACGCTGTGATAGGGCTCTCGTTCACTTCGTCGCTCTTGAACTCAACCGCGCCGATCTCGACTGTGGTCCCCGCTTCTCCACGGAATAAAACACCAGAGACTTCCAACGAGCTTAGAGAGCTGATCGACGCGTACTGCCTCTTGGTCGTTAGCTGAAGTGCTAGACGGTCCCCCACGTTTACTGAAGTCTCGGCTGCGAGTTTCAGCCATGTTTTCGTCTTTAACTCTTCTGCGTCTTTGAGAACGAACTCGTGCTTTGTCTCTTCAACGGAGAACGTGGACTCGAAGTCAGTGAAACAACCACGGATGAGGAACTCGCTGTGCAGTTCTACAAGAGGCTCAAACACCTCCATGTCGTCGTTCAAAGCTCGTCTTGAGATGGTGGCCATGCTGTGTACAATCTTGCCACTGTCGATAATGCGTAGACTAGCAACCTTGGCCGTGCTCACGATGTCGTCGCCAGGCAAGAACATGGCCGAGTACTTGCGTGAAGACAGCAACTTGTACGAATGCTTCAGATGCACGAGATTCAATAGATTGCCCTTCACTTCGTTCGCCAGCACCGACTGGATCAGCGCACGCCACGAGACGACCGTCGAGAAGTCAACAGGAGCGCCGACCTCGTCGCACTTGAGTCCCAAAGCTGTACGGTACGCAATGATATCCTCTTTCGTAACAGCAAAGTTAGTCATGAAAGAATCCTTAACACTCGCAGTACATGCAGCCTTGCACGACTCCTCTTCCTTGTCCTCAATCGCCACCCAGAAACGAGCGTAGAATGCCTTCACTTTGTCGATATAATCGCTGCCTTCAGCGTGGATCAAGCAGGACACTTCAGAATGGTAGGTAAACGTCATCTCCAGCGTCGCAACGTCAGCTTTTAGATCTGCCACCGCTGGACGCACCTCGTTCACTATAACCAAAATATTCGCATGTTTCTTCGTGATCTCGATCATAGGACCGGAAATGTCGATTGAGCTGTCGATAACGCGGATACCGACAGCGTACTTTTGTACTGGTTGCGAAGCGCTCCTGGGGAGCAGCCGCCGCCACTGCAACAAACTCCAATTCAAATCGGGACATATTTAAGTCAAGGCTCTTGACTAGTGCCTTCGTTCAACGATGGCACACAGTATAACTATTTTTTTAGTTGAAATGTATGTAGAAAACTTTACGGTACAATGTGTGTAAGTTGACAGTCCTCTTTTAATTCTGAAGTTCAAAGGTGCTGTATTCACGTTGAAAGCTAAGGAATCTAACGACTGTTGCTCCAAATCTACGAGTGAGATCACCAGAATCTGTAGGGCAGTTTCAAGCCTGAAAAGAGTCTACTACAAGATCCTAGTTCTTGAGGGCGTTCACGTACTTGTTGTAAATCCAAAGGCGGTCGCTATGGGTGCTCACACCGAGCTTGTTGTAAATGTCTCTCGCGGAGTAGCCCTTCCTCATCCATTTCTCAAACTTGTGGGCAGTATCCCCATCCAAGAGATCATTCAGGGCCTTACGAATCAATCGCTCTTCTTCTTCATTGTCGTTGGTGTCCGTAACACCGTCGTCATTCTCTTGGGACACTTCGTGGCTGCGCAGGAACCGCTTCTCACGGGCCTCTGCTCCAATCGCGTCGATTTCACCCTTCGACGTCTTTGTCAAGGAAGGGATTGGCTCAGCGCTGGTAGCTACATTACCGCTGATGACTGCCATGGCAGCGAGAAGAAAAAACAATCACTCTCATGATGCTAATGATCTTGGTACTTGGAGAGGTTATCGCTTGAGTGGTAGACGGCGAAATTCAGAATGAAAACCCAGCAATTGCATTCTAATGGTGGAGCCAACGAAGAAAATAAAGATTGCTATGTGTCAGTACGTACCATGATATACTTTTCTCTTGCGGCTGTGAATAAATTGTTAACCACCCGAATTCGAAACGTGGTGTTGTGAAAGGTACTAGATAATGTGCCGCTGCTAGCTGTGGGTAGACAAGGCGTCATACATGTATTATGGCAGATGATTGTACGTAAACAGTTTATTATTTTAATCAAGATGGCTACTCATCCCCGATTGCTAGCGTCATACATGTATTATGGCAGATGATTGTACGTAAACAGTTTATTATTTTAATCAAAATAGCTAGGTACTCATCCCCGATTGAGTCCACTTCATCCTAGGATTGGCTAGGACGGATGTCTTCGCGTGCTTAAGGCTTCGCTACGCAAAGGCAGTCGCTGAGCTCTTGCAATAAAAAGATCCTCTCAGCTGGAGAGTGCAATGCTCGGCTCGCCTCCTGTGCGGCCCTACTTCGCGGGTACCTCGCGCGAGTTTGCTATGGCTACGCGAAATCGCACCTGCTCGCCTCTGTTGGCCACCCCCCCCCCCCCCCCCCCCCCCCCCCCCTTCTTTTTCAGACAGTATGCGTATCCATTTTCATCTACTATTACCGGTTACAGCAAACAGTTTTAACACTAAATGACTTGGACGTGCTAGGGCCTAGCCTAGGCAGCGTGACCTTACTATATATATAACCGCAAGATTCTTTTGATACTGGCAAGATTTGTACCGATGTCCCTCGCCAAGCGAAGGGGATAGACGGGACACTACATATATATCATTTTAGGGCAATACTACAGTGCCCGCCAAATCATTAAGACTCCCGATTTGGCGGGACACTTCTGACAATATCTCGGCTTCTAGCCTGAGTTGGGAACTGCAAGTTTGATATGTTCTCTCTGTTAGGCTTACCGAGATGCCACTTGTGTTAACAACTTAGATTTCAAAGTATCTGACAGGGCTGGTATACAAATGCAAGGTTTGGGCACCAGCGTCAAATTATTAAGACCACATCCTTTTTATGACGAAAATAGCACTTTTATGAACAGACCATACAAACTTCTATATTAAAAGTTAGTACTTAGTCAGTCCACCTTTCTTCTTGATCACCGCTAGACAGCGGCGAGGCATGGACTCTATCAGCTTCAGCAAGTAGTCTAGCTGAATGGAATCCCATGCGGCCATGATTGCTGCCTCCAGATCAGCAACGTTTTGATATTGGCGGCCATGTGCGTACACCTTGGCCGCCATCGCAGACCAGACGTTCTCGATGGGGTTGCAGTCAGGTGAACGAGGTGGCCAAACCATGGTGTTGACTTGCATCTCCTGCAAGAATTGCTTCGTTTCATGCGAGGCATGAATCGAAGCATTGTCTTGCTGAAATACAAAGTCAACACCGTAGTTAGCGTGAGCAAAAGGAAGTAGATATTCAGATAACGTATAAATATAGTCACCTGGATTCTGACGTCCACGCAAGATGGCCAGTTCACACTTACCTGCTGCGCTAAAAGCGCCCCACACCATGACGCTCCCTCCGCCATTTTGGCGACGCAGATAAGACTGTGCTGGCTGGCGCATGTTCCGCCAGTAATATTTGAATCCGTGAGGACCATCTAGATTTAACTTCTTTTCATCTGAAAATATTGTATAAATCCAAGTTCCTAAAGAAAGCAAATATTTTTAGAATACGAAATAGCAGCAAAATCTAAATACGACAAGCTTACCTGGCTTCAGTATGTACTCTTCCGCCCATTGCATACGGGCAACCTTGTGCGCTGCCGTGAGGGGGAGCGTGCGGT